AAACAAACAAACAAACAAACAAACAAACAAACAAACAAACAAACAAACAAACAAACAAACAAACAAACAAACAAACTGTTAAACAAACGGAGCTGAACTCGTCAAGCTTCAGAGGAGCTCGTCTCCGCTCACCTTGAACTCGTTGTCTCTGTCTTTGGGTCCTTTGTGAAACGGCCGGTCRTAGCGGAAGCGCCGCACGTTGTTGACCCGATAGAAGCTCTTRATGCGATCGGGGACCCGGTCCATCTGAAGGACGCTGACGCTCTCAGGGACCGGGGTCACGGCGTAGATCTGCAGGTCTGAGCCCAGGAGGGTCAAGGATCTGTTCACTGATTTAACAGCCAGACACTTCCTGTAATCCTGAGGCAGGTTTGAGCCCAGCATGCACCAGGAAGTGCATCTGGTGTGAAACACACCTGTTATCCTGCTCCTGATCAGTAATAATCACGTCCACAGGACAGAATATTTATTTACTGGGGACAGTTTCTGCTCTGAAGGATACACTGAGCATCACACTGCAGGATGGCCTCGTCAGGCTGATTCGGGTGCTGCATCGCGATGGCTTGTGGAAATTCTCCCAGCATCCTTTGCTGGAACGCTTCTAACCTTTCATAATCGTGGCCCCGACAGACAAACTCCTTGTTCTGATGCATCAAAAATAAAACATCTTATGAATCACAAACTGTTCAACACTTAACTTACATTCAAATAAACACTTCTGACTCACTCGGAGGAAGAAGGGGAACTTCCTGCCGTAGAACCCCACCCTGAAGAACTCCGGCTCCAGACGCTGCTGCTCCATGATGTTGTCGTAATACGCTGCTTCCATTTTCTGTACAGAGAAGACAGTAAAGAAAATTAGTTTTACACAAAGCTCTTATTAAATATGTGAAGAACAAAAGTATTGTTTTTTTCTTGCATCAGTTCACAAAACTATGAACTTAATGTCAAAAAATACAAGTAAGAAACTGATGCAGGCTGCAACTCTGGAATATTTTCTGGAGTTTTAAATGTTTATGATACATTTATAATAAATAATGTTCTGTGTTTATTAGCGATGTTATTAACAGAGAGCAGAGTTTGTGTTGGAGCTCACCCGGATCCAGCTGAGGCTCTGATAGTCGTACTGAGATTCATACTGAAAGGCCAGTTCTCTGCAGAGAGGGATGCCGTACTCCCAGCACTGAAACAACACACAAACACACAAAAACACACACTTCTTTAGACTGCTGCTTTTAAAGACGTGTAACAACATAAATATGAGTTGGTCATATATTTTGTTGGATTGCAGATTAGACAGCRATATGACTCTATAGGGCAGGGCTTTTCAACTGGAGGCTCGCTGGACACATCCGGCCCGTGGGTGACTTCCACTCGGCCCACCAATGAGCACACCCCCAAAAAAACGTTTYTAGAATTTTTTATTAATTATGATTTGTATTTTCTTTCTTTTTTTAACTTAATTTAATACAAAAATAGATTTTAAATCATTTGTAAATTAAAATGTAGGTTTAAATGCAACAAAATAAAATGAAAAAAATAAGAGATATTACTTGTTCTGTTACGTGCTGCAGTGTTTCACCAGTCCCCACTGGCAGAAATGCCTTTGGTGGGTCAGGGGTTAGGTTTAGGACGAAGATTTGAGTTGAGTTTAGGCTAGGTTTAGGGTCAGGGTTACGCTATTGAAGAAATTTATTAGTTAATTAGAAATGATATAAAAGCACCACACTATTTCATAGTTTTCCTTTTTAAGCATTGATTCTACTAACTATTGTGTAACCATTGTTATGTCTTTATTATCATAGCTTTAGTTACATGCCTGAAACACCAGAACAACACATATAAAACTGTTAATGAACCATTAGGAAAGTGATTATGTTGGAGTGTCTGTATAGGCCTGTAGGGGGCGTGCCAGACACTGAAGAGCTGTGTTAAAATGAGCTGMACTTCTGGGTTTCCAGCAGCGCTGATTGTTGCTTCAGCCGTGACCAATAAACCATCGTTCAGAACCCAGTACTGGAGTTTGTTTGGTACCTTTTCTTCACATTTTAATCTATTTAACATTCTTGTGGTTTATACCTGGGTAAGACACGATTTCAGTAAATCAACACTAAAATTTTCTTACACTGTAGAAATGACCAGTAGATGAACAGAAGTCAACGCAAAGTCCCCATGAGGATAGAAGAACAAACATGTGTGTGTGAGAGAACACACCTTTCCCTTGTTGAAGTAGTGGATGACTTTGCGGCACAGACCCTCCTTTCGGTGCCACTCGGTCTGAGCAGGATAATGCAGGAACTCTTTAACGGGCCGCTCGTCCCAGTGCAGCAGCTCCCAGTACAGCAGCAGGGTGAAGGCAGCCTCTGCAGGCAAACACACATCACTAACATGTTCCAAACATGTTCCAAACATGTTCCAAACACGTTCCAAACATGTTCTAAACATGTTCCCAACATCAGTTTTTACTCCTGAATCAGCTTTGTGCTGCACCTGTGTAGTTCTCCGCCTGCAGGTGCATGTCACACAGTTTGTGGATGTAACGGATGTACATCTCCTCTTTGTTGATCTCTGACTTGTAGAAGTTCTGGGAGGACGCAGAACAAAAAGAATCACATTGATAAGTTTATTTTATTTGTGAAACAATGTAATTTATAGAGTTAGACGACAGAAATCCCACCAGGAGGTTAACGGTGCAGCCGATCTTCTTGTTTTCTGTCTCGTCTCCCTTCATACAGTCTCTGAAGAGAAAAACAACTTTTATATTCGACCTTGTCTCCAAACGCAGCCCTGATCATGTTACTATGAYAACATTTACATTTATTACTGTCATTAGAACTCATTATGTATACATGTACACATAAAGTGCTGTGTAATGAATATTACCTGTAGTCCAGCAGCCGCTCCATCAGACGAGTGACAGATGTAACAAAAGAGATTCCTGTTTCTCTCCACGTCTCCTGCTCAATCTTCTCCAGAAGACTTCAGAAAAATAAGAAATAAATAAAAAATAAGACATGATTGTATTGTAAACTCTTAATATCTACTTGTTCTGACTGATATTGTTGATGAAATTTAACTCTAAATATCAGCACTTTCAAACTCTGGCTCCTTTAAGTTTAGGCTAAAAACATTAGACAACGTCACTTTGTAGAACCACTGAGGTTTAATTTACTTAAGGAAGTTTATGTGTGATATTTATCACCAACTGCTGAAAGTAAATTATTCAGAAAATACCCAGTTAGTAATAAAATAGACAGCATTACTGAACAGTATGTGTTGATGTTTTATGATTTTGTCTTAGGTTTTTGTCTTTTATGTCATTTTCTCCATCTGGACCAGTAAAAAATGACTCAGATGTCCATTCAGACTTGCTACCAACATAAATTCAAATTCCTGATAATTTTTGGTTTGACTGAAACARTCTGCAGGTGCATCTCTTCAGATGTGAGGATGTTACCTGGGATACGGCCCAAACAGCTGGGTTCTGATCCAGCAGCAAAAAAAAGCAAAGCAAACACCAGAGAGAGACGTGTTAGAGCAGAACTGAGAGGTTATTTCTGTTATCACAGAGGAGAAACACAGRCAGGCGGCTTCACGTGGGGTTAAATCAGAGAGACGAGGGTTAAAACCCAAAGAAAGACTTTGGTTCTCGGCGTTCCTTACAGCAAACCAAAGAGCTCCCTGTAGTTCTCATCTCCTTTCCCCTCAGACACCAAACTGTCCAGCTTGTCRATCAGCTCAGCCTCCACCTGAACGATGACAGAACAAATATAATCTCTGTTTCTTTAAGCTGCTGTTTCCTGCCTGTGACCATGTGATGGATCTGTGCATCACCTGTTTGAAGTTTCCATTCTTGCGTTGCTCCCAGTCCATCATGTCGTGGAAGATGGGAATCATGATGTTTCTCACCTCCACCTGAGGAACCAGTGTCACTCCCAGGAATGGGCCGATCATCCCAGGGATGAAATGGATTTTATTCTCTCCTATAATCAAAATGTATATTATATATTAGTATTTAAATGGAGACTGAAGTTACATTTGAGAGCAGAAAAATAAAACCGAGTACATTTTGTGTTTCTTTTGGTCTTACCCAGGTTCTGCCACATGTTAAAAAGCTCATAAGTCATTTTCACCCTCATGTCTCCATACCTGCAAAATAAACAGAAAAAACAACAACTCATATTTTCTGTCTGATCTGGTCATGTTTGTTTGATAATCTAGTGTTTTACTACAAAAACAACGAGACTAACTTATCTTTGGTTTGAGAGTGATAAGAAAATAAGCCTATAATTCGTTTTAATGAGGAAATTTTCACCTGCTTCGGATTTTATCATCCATTAAATGGACGTTATTAGCCATTTTCAGTGCCATAGAATGGCTTCAGACTGTCAGCTGGTTAATATGAGGCATAAAGCCACTAAGTTTTTTTTAAATAATCTGATTAATATGAGGCATATAGCAACTAAGATTTTTTATGAAATCTGGTTAATATGAGGCATAAAACCACTAAGATTTTTTTATGTAACCTGGTTAATATGAGGCATAAAACCACTAAGATTTTTTAATGCAATCTGGTTAATATGAGGCATAAAACCACTAAGATTTTTTTGTAATCTGGTTAATATGAGACATGAAACCACTAAGATTTTTTTATGTAATCTGGTTAATATGAGGCATAAAACCACTAAGATTTTTTATGTAATCTGGTTAATATGAGGCATAAAACCACTAAGATTTTTTATGTAATCTGGTTAATATGAGGCATAAAACCCCTAAGATTTT